AGTAGAAGTTCTGCTCACACCCACAGCCACATATTGTTTTCAAATTTATTCCAAGTTCAACAACAATGGAGACCCGTTCAGAATCCTGATGTAATCCTTTTTCGAACTCTGTTAGGATCTTAAAACTTCGTGAATACACACTTCTTACAAGATTTCGCCGTTCCCTCAGGAAAAAGCAAATCCTGGAAGGATTCTGACTGAATCCATAAAGAATCTGACAAGGAAACATTGCAATAGCTCTTTCTGGAAACTTTTTTTCATGTTGAGAAACCATGAAAAGGGTCGTAACTCACGGTCACGGTCACGGCCTGGGCTCACCGTGACCGTGACCGTGACTGTGACCAACCTGTCGTGACCGTGACTGTGACCAACCTGTCGTGACCGTGACCAAAAAAGTTGATCACGCCGGGCACTAGTGTGGAGTGCTGGTGTGATTACAGACATCTCACACCAACAACTACATTCGCACCCTCATTAATGCAATTAACTTTTATACGCTTTACATGGTTTTTCTGTGATTTATTAAAACATGATCTATCTAAATTAAAATTAAATTTTTCAAAAAACATATTTACTTTTTATTTTTCTCTTTTCTTAAATCGTCACTTTTATCATTTTTCATTTGAGTTAAATTATCTAATTTATCATTCATTTTTTGTAACTGTAATCGAGTTTCATTAATTTCATTATCCAAATCTTGATTAATTTCTTTTCTTTCTGTTTTTAACTGCAGCACATAGTTAGGTGATTTATTATCATTTAATATCTTGAAGTTCATTATTATTTGGTAAAAAGTCAATAACTGCTAAAATATTATTATCATGTCATTCATCATTAATTGGTGAAATATTATTAGCGTCAAATTCATTACTATCTGATGGAGTATTGTTATTTAATAATCCATTATTATTTAGAACTTGATCTGTATTTCATACAATATTGTTATTTTGTAATTGATTATTATTTCGTCAAGTATTATTATCTTCTAATTGACTTTATCTGTTAACAGATCATCACTTGATATAATATTATAATCCTGTAATTGATGATTAGATGTTAACAGATAATTATTTGATAACTGATTATCAAATATTAAAATATCATTTAAAACACTTATTATCAATTAATGATTTACTTTGATGATTAAGAAACAAATTATTTCTTGTTGTTCTTAGTTGAATATTTGATTTATTATCATCAACTTTTTTTTGTCGATAAATTATCTTTATTGATTTTTAGTTTAAAGAAAAAAATCAATTTATTATTAAAAAAAAACATTCTAATTTTATATTTAATAATTATTTTCGTATTTTTCTTATAAAAGCGAATGGTTTTTTTCTCATCTTGAATTCAACAGACGTCTCTGTTTTTTGGTAACTTTCTATGAAGTTCTAGCTCTTTTGGTAATAAGTGACTAAATATCATCTGACATAGTGATCTTTTTGTATGTTTCCGATTAGTTTCGACGAAATCTGTTGATTTCGGGAGTCCCACACGAATGAAGTGGGAAAATAAAGCATGTATTGATGCGTCCAATGTCTGAAACGAACTTGAGCTAGATGCAAAGATTAATAACGAAGTCTTAACAAAACTAAATGTTTCAAATTCTACAACCTATATTTGATGATTTGCTTCATCGATGAGGCTTAGCTTACCTATAGCTGAATGATGTTCAATATTTTCTTCGCGATATAACCCTAGTTAGAACCATATTTTCTGAGGTACTATTCATAACAATTCACTATCATATAAGTGAAAGGAAGCAAGAATCATATCCTGGCGTTTTTAAACTACTGTGTGACAAAGTCGGTCAAAGACTAAAAAATACAGCACAGAAAAAAATCACTGACTAGCTAGTTTGAACTAACAAACTTTTCATAAAGAGTTCATTCATACAATATTTTGCGCAGTATTTTGTGGGTGTGGGTGTGAGTATGGCTGTTGTAAGAGAATAGAATATCCACACACCCACATACGGTGAGATGAACGGTGCATATATAGACAATCATGCTGATGACAATCAATAGTTTGAGAATGTTTGTATTTAGAAAATGAACAATGTTTTTTTTTGTACATAAAAATCATAATAATAATATTGACTAAAACTAATGATGAATTGCTTTGTACATTAAAATTTTCAATTTTTTTTCTTTATTATAGTGCGAGACTTTTTGAATTTATCATTTTCAATCGATTTTCAGAAAACAGTGCAGTAGGATGAAGTATGTTAAATGCTTTTACATATAATGTACTAAACCAAAACGTTTCAAAGAGCGTGGATGTGGTTAAACCGAATATCAACATCTATACCCACACTCTTCTTAATATTTTTTAAAAGTACTGGTTATAAATGCAAGTTTTAATCCAGATTTGTACAGCTTTCTCTTAGGCTTCAACGACATGGTTTAAAGGTCAGAGACCAATGAGCATGGTTTTCCTAGTAAAAGGAGGAAGAATGGCAACAGAAAAGGCATTGAGTGGCATCATTAAACAGATTTAGACTATTCTAAAACATTTTAAAGCCTTCATTGAAACTTCAATGGCTGAAGTGTGTTTGTGAATACTTTAACCGACTTATTTACTAGTTAAATCAATGGTTGAAATCATAATAAAACATGCAATATGAAATACAAATCAACAAGCCAAACAGAAATTAGAGCACAAATGCACAAAATAAATGAGACTGATGGTTTTTGTGAAAATTGATTATCTTTTGCAAACAAAAATAAAATTCACTAGAGATATTTTACTTAATCTATTTTGTATTAGTATATGTAGCTAAAATTTAATGATAATCTATTCTGATTGGTTTAGAAAATCTAAATATGATTGTTATAACAGAGACCGATTCTAGTAAAAAAAAAAGAAAAGTAGATAAATGAATTCTTGTTGATATGTTTTCATTTTATGAATCGATATTTTTAGTCTTTATTGAGGGTGTGGGTATGGATGAGAGAGAGTATATGATCCATCAACACATCCAAACAACATCTACACCCACACATCCACACCCAGATCCAAGACGATGATAAGATCGTATTTTGAATGTGTGCAAATAAATCAGCATATAATTTTTCTGGATTCGATTCATTTATGAATATTTGTTCAAATTGACGTTGTTGTTGAATATTCGTTAACTAAAATAAATAAAATAGATTTTTTTTTGATACAATTGATATTTGCAGGTTTTCTTTTAATAGACCTGCAGATAATATTCGCAACCAGCAATAAGAAATAAATGATTACCTAATTCTTCAAAATGAGCACGGAAACGTGATAACATCAATGAAAACCTAAAACAGTAAAACATATACCATATTATCTATGAGAATTCATTTTGACATTTCATGGCGAAATTTATTGATTTTGTATTGATCGTCATCCTTTCGGATTGCAACAAAGTAGTTTTCTTTTTCATTAATGTTCTACTATTTATCTTTTCCAAATAAATTTTAATCGCACGCGTAAGTCTCGATAATTTTCAAAAAGAAAACTAGAAAGAATATTTAACCATAGGTGAAAAAAAATAGCTCATCCAACAGTCCAAATACGACTTCACTATTAAATCATCAGTATGAAATTTCGATACAAATCTTGTTTTCTTTAAAGATTAATATAAAGAACAAAGAAAAAAAAATCAGCAAGGATAAATGATTTAAGTAAATACTTACAATGCATCAGCAATTGTAAGTGATGAACATGCACTTAACATAAGACAAGTTAACCACCATATAGCCATACATATTGATTTTCTTTGTGCAATATCTGTCATTGATAATAAAGTCCATTCATTAACTTTAGATGAATAACGTGCATTAATTAAAGCATAAAAAAAAGCAAAAACTGTATAAGCAAGTATTTGAGGATATAATTGTTATGTTGATGTAGCAAATTCTAAAACCATTTTATTCATCAAACGATCCGATAAACCAATGTGTGCAAGTAATAATGATAATGGGCGTAATAAAAGTAAAGCTTCATATGGTAATGTTGATCATTGTTTAGTACGTTCATATAATTCTTCAACAAGTTCAATAAGAATATTATCTGATAATGATATTCTTGATGAACTATCAATCATTTCTTGTTCTTCATTAACATGTTCATTATTTAATGAATTTGTATTTTCATTTGGTCGTTGTAATAATGTATAAATACGTGTAAGTATTAAAACAAGATAATCAATATTGAACGATGATCATTGACGTATTATTGTTATTGAACATTCATATAAACGCCATATATCATTTTTGTCATATTGACCAACTATTAAAAGTCTTTCAAGACTAATTGATATAATTTTTTGTGTTAAATTATCATCTTTAATTAATGATAATAAAATATCATATAAATTTAAATCAACTTCATGACTTTCAAGTAAAAATAAACATGATGCATATGCATGAGTTTTAGTTATTAATTTATAATTACGTTCAATTAAATGTATATATAATTCATTATATTCTTTTGTTGCTTGTCCAAATAATATATCAGATTTACATAAACTATAACTTATTAATGATATCATTAAATCATCTTTATCAAACCATGTATGAAAATATTCATCACATAAATCATATAAATTTGATAATTGCTGTGATGATGGAAATAAATCAGATAGATATATAAATGAACCTACTAATTTCTTTTTTAATTGAATACAAAAATTATTTGAATTTTTTGTTAACCAACGAATATATAGTTCAATTAGAATTTGTAATGATGATGTTAAATTAAGACCATGACGAGAAAGTAAACGATCAAATAAACTCTAAATTATATATATTTTAAAGGTGGATGCCAGCAAAGGAAATGTTCAGACTATAATTTTCTGATTGATAGAAAATAGACTTTATTAATAGAATACAAGAAGTAATTAGAATATATTTGAAATTATTAATATAAGCTCTTATCTATATGAAATGAGATAGTTTGCATATATTATATATCAAATCAAAGTCAGAGAAACACTAGATTTTTTGTTTGATGAAATTAATAATTTAGCAATGAATTTATCTTTCTCTTAACTTACAGTTCTGTATACACTTATGCTGAATATTCAATATTAACAAAAATACAAGTTCTACTTGTTAATTATTAAAACATATGTGTGACTTACATTAACTGATAATGGTAATGTATTATTACTTTGGATTGATGTTAATATAGTATCATATGAAAGTTGTTCATAGGATAATAAATCACGTGTACCTAATCGTTCAATATTTGTAAATAAATTATTTGAAATTGTATCTAATGTTGAATGTCTTTGCACATATTGATCACTGATAAAACAAAGAACAGGTAAAATCTACCTTATTTTCGAACCTTGTTACCATTGTGTTTCATTTGTTTCTAAAATGTCTTCTTTTTTAAAATTATTTGTTGTTTATTTATTTTTATCATTAGATGGATTTGTAGTGGGTTAATTGAAGCTAAAAATGAAGCCTATATTTCTTGAAATTGTATTCTTGATAATCAACCAACTTCAAAATTGTCTTGATATATGTATACATGAATTAAATATTGGTAAACAAAATAATAATATAGCTATACAACGTAAAGCATGTCAAGAAATATATGATATATATATATTTAATTTTTCTTGTTAAATAATAAAGATGATCAAGATCATTAAATAATAAAAGTAATAATTGTATAAATGATCTATTATCTGGTTCAATTAAAATTAAATATGACTATAATAATTGATTTATTTATTTGATAGAGTTAAACCATGTCGTTGATAAAGATATTCAAATATTAATAGTAGTGTTTTCGATAATGTACAACATGATATTATTTGATCTCTTTCACAATTAAGAAACGATTTTTTTTTCTGAAATATATTTATATAAATTATTTCTGATATAAATATTATAAAACGTAATAAATCATGTATATCACCTGTTGAAAATTGACATGTTAATTCAACATGATTTTGTATTTTATCAAAATAGATTGAGATAGAATCTATTAATGCAATTGAATATGGTTGATTATTAGAAGCATGATAAAAGATTTTTTACATAAGTTGTAGTAAGTGTTGTTTCAACATCATTTAAATTTGTTTCATTTGATATTAATCGTTATGTTGATAAAATTCTAACGATAAGACAATGAGATGCATTTGATATAACGATACAAAATCCTAGGAAAACAAAAAAGAACAGATTTATATTGTTTCTTATTTTCTCAAATCAATTTTCATTTACTATAAGAATCATCCTAAAAATATAATGCTATGGAAATAATCCAATACGTTTTCGGAGTCCATGAGTTCAAACTTATAGAAAATTTATCGAAATTCTCGAATGCAATTTATTTCTAAATATTATTTTCGGTTGCAAATAAATAACACAATCGAAAACATCTTACGAGATATAATATTAGAAAGACGTCGTTGTCTTTAATTGTAACAGTACAAATAGCACGACTGAGAATTTGATCAATGAGATTCGAGAGGAATTATTCGGTCAGTGTACTAATGTAGTTTAAATGCTTTTCTTTACGATTTGTATTACCTGAAATTCTGCATATTTTATTTCTTATCTACAGTCCTGGACAAAAATTTAAGTGAAATTGATTTTTCAGTATTTTTTCTCAAATTTTTTTTCCGCAGTTTTTTTCTCATATTATTTGGTACAGGTTTAGTTCAAATGGTCATACAGATAGTATGAAAGCTTAGCTACACCACCCATTAAAGAACGACATTCTATCTCTTTATATAGATTTTTTATAATTAAAATACTTTCGTTCTATGCAAAAGCAGATTTCGGCGTCTTTCAGTATTTCGCATTTCCTAACCAAGAAATTTGTGCTAAAATAAAACAAAATTATATCAATCAATAGAGCATTTCACGTTCTATCAGATTATAGAAAGGGTTTTTTTCCTAGAATCGATCTTCACTTTTAAAACTTGACTTTAATGAGAATAACCGAAAAATATGAAAAAATGAAGTTCATAAAATTCCATCATCGCTTGTGTTTCAAGACACTTAAAAGCTGGAAAAGTGCTGATCTGAAAGAAAATTCGATGCTCTACAATCCTGGCGTAAAATATTCAAAATTAAATATAGAATCAAAAGGAGATAATTTTTTTGGTAGCCGAAGAAAGTTTGAAATTTAAAATTTTTGCTTTTTTCTTATTTTTCTGTTTCATTCACCAATTTAATCAAAAATAGCACAAAATATATTTCGCAAATTTCATAAAAGATCTCACGTAAAATGACCTCCTTTTGCTTTCAGGCATACATGAAAAGTATTATAGAACATCAATATCATATATATAAAGACTTTTCGACTTTAATGCTTGCCGACCTAACAATAAGATGTAGATAAAAATCGGTTTCATCTTCAAGAGAAAATTATGCTCTGTTCAATACCTAGTGAAGAACGTTATAGACATCATTTTTCCCACCAAAATAATTGAAAAAGGAATAGATTGTGATATGATGGAATTTGAAGAGTTTCATTTTTCATATTTTTCGGTTATTCTCATTAAAGTCAAGTTTTAAAAGTGAAGATCGATTCTAGGAAAAAAACCCTTTCTATAATCTGATAGAACGTGAAATGCTCTATCGATTGATATAATTTTGTTTTATTTTAGCACAAATTTCTTGGTTAGGAAATGCGAAATACTGAAAGACGCCGAAATCTGCTTTTGCATAGAATGAAAGTATTTTAATTATAAAAAAATCTATATAAAGAGATAGAATGTCGTTCTTTAATAGGTGGTGTAGCTAAGCTCTCATACTATCTGTATGACCATTTGAACTAAACCTGTACCAAATAATATGAGAAAAAAACTGCGGAAAAAAAATTTGAAAAAACAACTGAAAAATCAATTTCACTTAAATTTTTGTCCAGGACTGTACATGTTTAGATTTTATTTACAGAAGTTTCTATTCTATCTTTGCACATATAATCTCCTATTCTTTTGCGTTCTGTTGATATTTCTATTTGTTTTTATTTTACTTACAATAGATGCATTTCCAGGGTTTGTATTTATCAGATTAGACCGATCATTTACAAAAAAGCTACAGTCAACAAATCAAAATATGAACCAAGCCGTAATGTGTATTACATGTGGCAAGTGTCCTCCACAACAAAATAATTTACATATGTGTAATAAATGTAACACTAAATTTGAAGATAATATGAAACCTTTAGATGATGTTAAAGAGGATTTGGACAATTATCTGAATGAAAATCAACCGACAACTATGAATAATTTAACAAAAAAAAATGAACGTGAAGATTTACAGCCTAAAACTGGTAAAGAATCAAATATAATTCTTTAAAAAAAAACGATTAATCCAAATTCTTTTCATTATAGGTCACTTAACACAAATGACTGAAGATACAAAACCAGTATGTTGTCATCTTATGATCAGAGAAAAATACTATGCTATTCAAATTAATGACAACGTACGAGGAATATAAACTTTGAAATATCCTTTAACGTATATTATTCTAGTTGAATCACTTACGATGTGCAGTTCTAGTGGAAAATGGTCAAATTGTTTGTATCAAAGAAAGCAGCTTCATTAATTATAGCAAAGCCAAGCTAAAATACGTGAAAAGCATACTCTTAACAATGAACAACAACATAAAGTCAGAGAAAAAATTTTTATATAATATTTTTTCTTTTTTTTCTTTTTAGGATTAATTTTATACAATGATGACCATTAAATTTTTCTTTTTTTTTAAATAAAAACTATACTCGAATGTTTTAGTTTTTTTTTAACAACTCAAAGATATATAATGAATAACAAGCGAGAGAAAAAGATAATGATGAAAGCTAATTAACTAACAACAAACAATAATTTCTTTAAAGGACAAGCCATTCTTTAGCATTTCATTTTACATCTGACCATATAATATTATGGTTCGAACTAATGAACATAATATCTTTTATATATTCATATATTACTCAAAACCATATGAAAATTCCACAACCATCCTCATCAATAACGATATATAGCTCTTCATTTTGTGACAAAGTAACAATACAATTTCTTAGACGTTCTATGAATAAAGAGTGTTTCGTATAAACTAAATCAATGTCATAATTAAGTTTAACATAATGATAATGATAACGCCGAAAGCACAAGCCAAAGTCCGCGACTATCAAAGCTGTTTCAGCAATAACTTTGCAACTTGTATCATCTGGTGGATTAAGCATATTATACAAAAGCACACGTAATGAGTTTGACAGTGGTAAAGTTGAAAGTGTACGTAAAGCTGTCCAATCGCCACTTGCAAAATCAAGACATTCATGATGAAGAATAATATGAATAGATCGAATATTTGTTGAAAGTGAACGACTATTTAATGCATCAAGACTGTCTATAAGAGTAAGATGAGTAACCATTGGTAAATTGAGAGAAATTTGTCTATCACATCGAAATAAATGAAGTTCGACTATTTGATTCGAAAACATTACATGAGAAAGAAAAGCAGCAGACGATGAAATATTGTCTGACATATTCAATTTAACAAGACGAGAAAAACCAATTGTATTAGCCGAAGAAAATGATGTAAATACTTGTAAGTCATTAATACATCTATCTGGAACACATAATTCAAAGAATTCATTAAAGATCCACGGCAAAGTATAGAATAGATGTTGTCGATCTTTAGATTGTTTCCACTTAAAAAAAGAAATCAGTCAGATTGATTGAGTAAACAGTTTACTATTGAAATGACTAATAACACTTATAGAAAAGAAGATAACTTACATATTGTTCGCTAGGAGTTATGAATAGTTGATTATCAGGCCAACATTCTGAAATGAATGTTGCACTAGCTATTTGCCGTGGAAGAGATTGACTACTACATGGTACATATTTACTAAGTTTACCATGTAGTCGATCATCATTGATAACGAATGCATAATGAACATCAACATGTCGATAATCAGTGAAAAGTGCTGAATGATTCATTCGAATAAGATCATCAGTATTAATAACTATAGCAAAATTTACTCGTCGTAAAATTGGCATAACACTGGAAGTCAAAATATCAAGAAATGTCCATTCTTTTGTGAAGTGCCAATTGAATGATTTGACAAAAGTAAATGTATGCAAGGCTTCCATTCGAGATAAAAGTTTTGCAGCAGATATATCAAGATATGGATCACTGTGTATGTCGTTCAATTTTACATGAAATTGCTGTAATGTATGTCGTAATGGTTGCGTTAACATAAGATGAATTATAATGATTATTGCTGATGTGGTAATACGAAGATATGTCAGAGGTGTTTTTATCTCTTCTAACGACCAAAAAGGTAGGAAAAAAGATGATTCCATTCCGAAATCAAGTGAACGAAGAGCACGCAGACCTCGAAGAATTTTCTTCATCAAATCTTCTAAACATTCTAAACCCCATGACACAAGCTGTTTTTGGTTTGTCACACCAATCTATAAAAAAAGCAAATAAAGGTTCAAAGAATATATACAATTAGTCGATGAAAAAAGCTTCGCCGTATTGAAATGAAGCTTTTATATTATTTTGACGTATGAGAATAGAATGCAACACATCTATCTATATACAGAGGAGTTCGAGACATTTATGTGGCACATACTGATTTTCTAGCTGTTTGCTTCTTCTTTGAGGAAAGAAAAAAATATATGAATACAACCACTTTTGGATGACTTGTTGAGACATGAGATGAGTCGTGTGAAATGAGTTCGAGTTACGGCTGCTATGGCTGAGTGGTTAAGTTGTTCAGTACGTACTACCAAGATATTGTGTTCGAGCATCGGCGCCATCAGACATGAAATGACTTTGGACAAGTCATTAACAGCTGTTTGCGTCGGATCACCCGCACGATAGCACATTGACTACGTTTGGACATAAACCGAGCATTGTGACAAGTACATGGTTAGTCAGTGTGTACTGGAAGCTTAAGTGATTGAGCAGAAGAATTCTGAATCAGGCCGGTCTTCTGCCCAGAGCTGCAGCTAGTAATAGTTGTAGGGAAAATGGCGGGCTTTCCAAACTGTCTCCTGGTAGCACCATATACCGGAAGGTAACTGAATAGGCAGGGTAGTCTTCTTGAGTTCGAGTTTATCACTTTTCACCAATCAGAGGGAAGGATTTTGGTTATGCTCCATCGCCAGGCAATACTAAGAAAAGTGAGTGAAATTTCGAATTGTAATACGTTCACTTGAAATCTTGGTCTCATTTCACACGGTCCATCTCATGTCTCAACAAGTCATCCAAAAATGGATGTATTCACATATGTTTGCTTTGCTCAAAGGAGAAGCAAACATCTAGAAAGTCAGTATGCGCCGCGTAAATGTCTCGAACTCCGCTGTATATAGATGTGTCGTATTCTATTCTCATACGTTAAAATAATATAAAAAATTCATTTCAATACGGGCGAAACTTTTGTCGTCGACTAAACATTACAATTGAGAGTTGAACTTTTTCCTTGCCTGATCTGAACTTCTGACAATAGAAATTTGTCATCAATAAAATGTATGAGAAGTCTTAATCCTTCTAGCTTTTTGACATATGAACAAGAGTAAACATTTCGTAAGATTGTTTTCGTTAATTTGCCATTAATTCTACCGAAAATTACAGGTAGAAGAAAAGCACCTAAACCGTGCAGGAAAAACTAACATTACACTCAACTAAGCATTCGTTACATTATGTTATATTGTTATGCATATTTTAGTTGGTCATAACTACAAATACAACTCTATCATCGAATATACATACCTGATCTAATTCGATGGAAAATCAACTTTGATAGACACAGCTTCGATTAATTTTTTTTTTCTGTTGGAACAATTTTTTTCAGATATGTTGTCATAAATGTTTTTTTTTCTAGTATCGTTTTATATACTAATAACGAATAAACTGTCAAATAATAATATACAAAAGATTCATATTTCTCTATGTTATACATTCTATTTATTGTTCTATAGATTTCATTCATTTACTATTAAAATCATTTTTAAATGCACTTACTCTACGATAATATAAGCTTGATTCAACTGTAAGATGAGTCAATGATTTAGCGTGTTGTAATACAAAATGGCAAATATCGAAGTAATCGCATATACCCTTGACTCGTAATTTTTTTAAATAAGGTAAATAAGGCCATTTATTCAGTTGAAGAGGTGATGCATAAGAGTCAATGACAAGTGATTGTATTTCATTTAATTGAAGTAAAGATAAAAGTTTTTGGAATTTATAATATCGAGTAAATGATAAATCAACATGACGATAGAAACCTCGTTCAAATAATAATCTTGTCAGACGAGTATTGATTTTACTGAATGTCCATAAAGCATCTACACAGGATAGATATGAAAATATTTCGAGCAATGATAGATCCGGTAAATCATCGAAGAAAGTGACCATTATTATTAAGTGAAAAATAACGCCAAATAATATTATGTTGTTCTTTTATGATTATATACAGAATGCTTCATCGCGAACGACTATTGTACATTTCTTTCTTTTTCTTCTAAGTGTTCATATACGTAATGAACTAAAGCATTCTCAAGAAGAAAAGAATTTCTCTCTTCTTTGTTTTTGTTGACGACCGACGGTAACATTTGTTCAATAGATTCGTTCGCTACATGAAAAAAAAATAAACGAGTTCGTGTCTATAAGTTTCAAACAGCCTAGACGAATTAACAGCGAATTAAAGAAATATGATTGGTATTTTTGCGTAGCAATATTAATTGCATTTCTTAACTGAGTTTTAATTCATCTTGCCTATTTGATGCCATAAACAATATTGTGTGGTTTGCTTCATTTATTTATACCTTTTTATGTTTTGTTCGCGGATCAATTATCGACCTTGCATACCAGAGACCATAACAGAGCATTTTTTACCCTATTCTGTTCAGAAAATGGTTCATACAACATCTTTTGTTCTGATTTGCCCTCAGGACAGGGCGCTCGCAGAACATATAAGTTGAGCTTGACTACGGAATGGATTGATAATCTAATGCAAAATGCTGATCGTTTTTTTATGTTCAATGCTCATATTTTGTTTACATCATTTCAAAAGAATATGAACCACGTATAAAAAAAGACCAATCCGTTTAAAAACGATTAAAATGGTACAATTTTTTCCCGGTTAAAGTTTGATTTTTAACTTATGTTTTGTTTTTTTCTACTTTTCAAGGTTCTTTTCCAAATTTCTTTTATCGATTAAAATTCATTGATAAATTTTAATTAATTAAAATTCAAGACTAAAAATTAGATTATAATCGAGTGGAAATAGTGTCATTTTAATTTATTCTTGATGAAAAAATAATCATTTTTAGTTCACTATCTTCTTGGTTTTTTTTGCATTGGTGCTTGACACTAGTAGAATATTCATACAAAAACAAAATATCTGCCAATGAAAACAGGAATACTTTGTAATTTAATATCAGTCGAAGACTTTTATCATCATTTAGCAGCAGATCGAGATTCATTTTTATTATTTACGAGAGGTGCTTGCAATGCTATAAGAGATGTTGAATCTCGAAATCGAAAAAGTTTGTACTGAACGATGATGAATCAGAATGAGTATTACATCCATAAGTTCTAATGAAATCGATCGAAAACATGGAATTGTGGATGTGGGTAAAGAGAAGACCGATACCAACACCCACATCCTACTCAGAACGCATTCTTACTTAGATCTAATAGTACCACCAATTAATAATGAAATATTAAAATTGAATCTTTGCATTTCTTTAGCGACAATAATCATTTCATCTAATGATGAAGTAACTAAACCAGATAAACCAATAAAATCTGTATTTTCTTCTTTAGCTACTTTAAGAATTTTATCACATGGTGTCGTAACACGTAAATCAATAACACGATCATTATTACAACCAAGTACAATACCAACAATATTTTTTTCAATATCATGAATATCACCTAAGGATAAAATAATAAAAAAACAAGTATAAAAAAAAAGATTTACCTTTAACAGCAGTCAAAACAATAGTTACTTGTGAATCTAATCCAGTTATTGATGTATTATCTTGTTGTTGTAATAATTTTAAATTTTGTTGTTTTTCTTTTTCCATAAATGGAATTAAATAATTAACTGCTTTTTTCATAACTCTTGCTGATTTAATAACTTATGGTAACAAAATTTTACCATCACCAAATAATACTCCAACTTTATCCATATTATTCATTAATGGTCCTTCAATAACATTTATTGGACGTGGATATTTATTTCTTGCTTCTTCCATATCATCATTTATATATTTATCAATATCTTTAACTAATGAATATTGAAGACGTTCTTCAACATTTATACGTAGGGCATTAGAAAAGTTCCCGGACTGATTTTATTTAAAAACAACAAGAACCGCTGGTGAATTAGTATTCTCACATATATGTAGTTCATACAGTCATTTATCTATAGACATGATAAGCTCTGCTGAATGAAACATATATATGAAAATATAGAAACATAGTTTAGACCACTGTCTAGACATTGATACAAATTTAAAAATTGATTAAAGTTATATGTTTTATATGACATTTGAATGAACTCGTCGTTTTAAACGCGAATAACTAACTATTAATGATTACTCCTGAAAAAGTCGACACGTCATTGATATCGTATTAGAGAGTATGGGCTTCTCGTGGACTGACTTTATTCAGATGTAATTGATCATGTGAAATACTTTGTACCGTACATTTGAAATGCGAACAGTGTCCGCTATCTGCCCAGTTGTGATTCAACCGTCTTCGATCATTAGGCTTCCAAAACGTTTCAATAGTTATGTTATTTACATCCAGATTGTTATCGATTTATGATAATCCATCTTCAAAACAACGATCTCATTCAAAAGTTGTAGTGACCAATCGAGAATTGACCAACATAAACTGCCACTTCATGTTAATACATATTAGATGAGGTATGGTCTCATAGAACAAGAAATTTTATTATTGAACGATGTTCAATAGTTATGAATTTCTGTCAGTATCTAGACAGTGGTCTAAACTATGTTTCTATATTTTCATATATATATTTCATTCAGCAGAGCTTATCATGTCTATAGATAGAGGACTGTATGAACTACATATAGATGAGAATACTAATGCACCAGTGGTTCTTGTTGTTTTTAAATAAAATCAGTCCGGGAACTTTTCTAATGCCCTTCGTAATTATATTTCATTTCAATATAAAATTTTACCAGGATTGTATACAGGATTATGACATCTAGCACAAAGATCAGTGTCTATTTAAAAAATGAGACAAAAAGAAGATAAGTATGAAAAAAAGGAAAAAAAAAGAATTATCTTTGACTAAATAACCACTTTGAAGTAATATTACTGTCTTTTTTCGTAATGCCAAACAATCATGAACGATTATCTTTCGACAACATTCTGAAAGAGACATCTAAGAAACAGAATATTAATTAAATAAGTAACTCTATAATGCATGTGAAGAAAGTAAGTATATTGAGCTCAGTATCATATAAAAAAATCTTGCTACGAATAATTATACGAAATAAATATTTTTTATTGAAACTATTTAACAATGATAATTAATCTCATTATTAATTAAATACAAACATGCATCAATTCTCAAATTTTTATAATGAAACCATCGAAAAAAAGTGAAACAATATTATCATTTGATAACATAATTAAAATGAAACACATGCAAGAATAAGGCGCTCTTTCATTTCGTCTTGTTTCAGCACTACATCAATTATTATGAATACAGATTCTCAAAAGGAACCTTGGCGAGGTAATTATTTGTATTCTTGTTCTTTTTTTTATCTTCACTTATATAATATTTTTAGAATCATTATTCAATGTATGCGCCTCACCAGCAATTTGTTGCAAAGGATTTTTCTGTACACCTTGTGTATTTGGTACAAATGCAGTTAAGATTAGTAATGCTTCATGTTATGTATATTGTTGTGCATATTCTATTTTAATATCCTGTTTATCATGTGGTCTTATACATATGCGTATGCGTGCTAAAATGCGTGAAAAATATGGTTTAGAAGAAAAACCAAGTGATTTTTTGGCTGCTTGTATACTTTCACCATTAGCTGTTTGTCAAGAAACACGTGAAATAATATCACGTGAAAAAAATCCTAATGAAAAAGTTAGAACAAGTCAACCTGGTGAAAGTGAAATTGCATCAACAAATAATTCATCACATGCATCATGAAAACATAAACAAAGATTAAAAAAAAAAACTTGTCGATTTCTTTGTGAATAAATTGAAAAAGTTCTTAATATGTAACGTTGAAAAGTTTATCTCTTTGATTTCGTCATACTGAATCAATATAAGTTTATGTAAGTTATATCAACTTTGAAAGAAATGATAACAAGTCGTCGACACATATTATAATATGTGTATGTGCTCTATTCATTTCTTTTTTTTGTTTTTTATCTTTCGTTTCAATGGAAAGCAAACGTATGTATATTTTAATAATTGCTTAAATAAGTTAGTTATTTTCGATCATAAATTAATACTTAAGATTATTATGAAAAATTAAATTAGATAAATTAAAAATGGAGAAGAATTTGGGAGATTTGTGTGTATTTTTTCTTAATTAATTGAGATCGAAATAAAATGATATAATTTTATTGTAGTGTTATCTCATCTAAAAATTGGATTTTTCGGTGCTGGTCGAATGTGTCAAGCACTTGCTCGAAGTCTTATTGAACGAAATATTGTTTCGTCGAAAGATCAAATAATTGCTAGTGATGTTGATGAAAATCAACGAAAAATAGTAACGGTCAGTTGTTTTGTTTGTTTATTTAATATATTTCTATATATTTTGATTAGTCTCAATTAGGTATTGTAACAACAGCTAGTAATAAACAAGTAGTCAACGAAAGTAGTCTACTTATCTTAGCTGTTAAACCAAAAGATGTTGAAACTGTCTTAAACGATATTCGAGATCCATTTATTCCACAGAGTCATTTACTTGTTTCAATTGCCGCTGGTATTCGAACAACAACTATTGAAAAAGTTTGTTTCAATTAAAATTTTTTTCTACAAGTATAAAAAACTATATATTAAGTATCTTTTTTCAGCTTCTTAAACCGAAAAGTCGTGTAATTCGTGTCATGCCTAATATAGCTTGTTTAGTTAATGCTAGTTGTAGTGTTTATGCATCTGGACAATGTGCTACTAATGGTAAAAACAAATATCTGTTTTATTCACTTAATTCATCACCGATGATATATTTTATTGAAAATTTAGATGATCGATTGTTAGTAAATACGATTTTCTCATCTATTGGTTCATGTGAAGGTGAAATTGATGAGCATTTACTCAATGTAGTTACTGCTTTAAGTGGTAGTGGACCTGCTTATGTAACACTTGTACTGCAAAGATATATATATATATTTTAAGATTATTTTTTAGTTTTCTGTTATGGTTGAAGCACTTGCAGATGGTGCAGTAAAAGCAGGTTTAAGTCGATCATTAGCATTGACCTTAGCTGCAAAAACAATGATGGGTACAGCAAAAATGTTACTTGATAAAGAGCAACAATTTCATCCAAGTCAATTAAAAGATGCAGTTGCTAGTCCAGGTTAAAATTATTCTAAACTTCTTTAAATTTTCTATATGAAAATATTTATTTAAAAGGTGGTACAACTATTTACGGACTTGAAATAATGGAAAAAGCTGCTGTTCGAGCAGCTCTAATGGAAACAGTAACAGCAGCAACTAATCGAGCTGCTCAATTAGAATCGTAAAAATTCATTTTATTAAACCATTATTAGATTTTCTACAGTTTTTTTTAAGAATTCAATTTTTATTTGTTTTCATAGATATTGATTATTAAATAATAAAAAAATATATATCAATGGAAATTAAAATTCTGTTTCTGTATACTTGTTTATTATGGAAAATTTATTACTTTCGATATGATAGATGAATACAATAATTTATTAATAAATAAATTATATAGTCTAAACAATGTCTAATAAAATATTGATTGATATAAATCAGAAGAACTCATATGGTCTTGTCAATAGTCATATGGGATCTTTCCTCATATAATTGTAAACAAATTATTTTTTCTGTTCTGATGTTGACACACACAGATGTATCTCAATTGCATTATTAGCGCCATTAAACACGTAACCATTTTAATAATAAAACGCTTTTCCAATAGAGAAAAACAGCTAGTTATTAATCACTCGCTTAGTGTCCGACAGATAAAAAAAAGGAAAAAATATATATTGGTTTTGAGTTCTTTCGATAATCATACGTTTAGACAAAAGGATCGTAATGGTAAATCAATGCAGTCATATTAGTTATGACCTAGATGTATTTTTAAACCTACTGAAATAGAAAAAGACTTCATGATAATATGTATCAATTATGAAATTTTTAGGAATGAAATCTCATTAAGACAAAGCAATGATATTTATGTTTAGACTTTTTGAATAGTTTCAAACAATGACTAATACAATAAAGATATTCAAATAATTCATAAACTACTTCATATTTTAAATGCTTATTTAATAATAAACATAAAATAAGCCATATAATAAAGGATTATTTTAATAAATGTTTATAGTTAAAATAAAATTCTTAATATTGGATTAGAATTATACTGAGGTCCCCAAACAGTCGGAATGAGTTTTTTTGACATCCAATATTTATTTTGATAAAATGTATTTAAGAAATGTTCATTAATTTTTGCACATTTTAAATCTAAAGTGAGTTTTTGCATTAAAGGCCAACTATTTTGAATAATATTCTGCGAATGAAAACCATCAATCAATGGACATTGTTGAAGAGTATCCCATTGAATATATAATCGTTGTAAAGAAGGAAACATTTGTCCAAGAAATCTTACATTAATTGAATGAATATTTAAATTCATATCAAGTTTAGAAACATTTTTAAAACATATTTTGTTAATGATGGTTCATATAATGTAGATGCATAAGTACGAATGTATAATGATTGAAGATTTGGTGTATTATTTTTCAAAAATTCAAGAATATCTGCTCTCCAATAAAACCCTTCAAGTGCAATACGACGAAGATTGAAAAAAATAGTAGGAACATTAGAAACTAGATAAAGATTTCCAGTTAAATAAAATGAACAAATAACAATAGACTTTAATTTCAGATGATATTCTTGTAATAAAAAACCATTATAGGAAACTTCCATTGCAGATTGTAATGAATATGGATTTTCAATACGTATATCTTTTATCTGATTAACCTTTGGAATAGTTTTAAAAATTACTTGAAGAAAAAATCCGTCCACTCTATAAAGAGTTAATGAACGAAGATTAAAACATATAGAAACTGAAAATCGTTCTTCCATAAATATATGATAATAATAAGATAATTCACGAACTAGTGAAAAAATCTATATTAGACGCTATTAATTCCCAAATTTTTGACTTTTGTCTTGATCGATCAAAACGAATATGTAAATGACATTGTCGTATAAGATCATTAAAACGACCATTTTATCCATAAAACGTTGTGAAAAGTTGATAAACATCCAAATATTCAAAAATTTCAAGTAATAATTCGTTACACAAACATTCAAAGTACGTCTCCCTTTTGTTTGACATTGTATAATGTGTTCGTTATTTTCTATGTCATTGTATATGTATGTTGTGGCCGAAGTTAGAATTCAGCCCAATTCTAAATTCGTCCAGACCAAATTGGAATTCTAATTTCGACTGGATCAAATTGGAATAATTTTTTAATGAATAGAAAAAAGTAAAATCTTGATAACCATTGAGAACCAATTTAAGTTTGTCTGTCTCTTGATTGTTTCTTTCTTCTTGTCTAATCTAGTTAAACAAAGCGGGCGAACAAATTAGAAGAGAATATTCTAGTGAGAAGTGATTGCGTGAACAAACAGTATAAAGGGCGGGCCAGAAGTCCTGACTCGATTTGTATAATAAATTTTTCTATAGTGAAACACATGGTTGTAAATTTGTTTCTATGAAGAAAAGATGCAGTAAAAGACGCTCTACAAAATGACTGTTGAATGA